TACGAAGACTTTGGATATTAAAGGCATATCAAATAAAGTCATGGTACTGGAACTGTGGGTTAATGCGCTGGACTGTAAAGTTGTTTGAGCAACAAGGTCAGCTGTTCAAGCTCACCAACTGCTCCTTGGAAACCCTGTACTGGTTCACTATGGGACGGAACCAACTCTACGGCACTTAACCACAACAACCACACTACACAACCCTCAGAACAGAAGAACTAGATGGTGACCAACTACCACTGCTAAGTGCTCTGAGAAGGATCACAATATCAGGTGTTGGGCAGAATGGGAGAACAATGTGGAACAAAACTCAAAATCATAAGACCAGGCTTACTGGTCTGATAGAGACATAGAATCCGTAAGACTATGGCCCTTAGAAGTCCTTCAAGCTGGGAACTGAATGTACCCCCATGGTGCAACATTCAGCGAAGTAATAGGCCTAAAAGACAAACAATAACACTGGGGAGGTACCTACTCATTGGAGCAATCAACCATATGAGATCAAAAGGACAGCAGTATGTCCAGGATAAAGCTCAGAAGGCAAGAAGGGCAAATGGAAATGTTAAATCCAGGGAGGAAGTGGGAAGAGAGCTCTAACATCAAAAGGACAGCTGTATGTCTAGGATAAAGCTCAGAAGGCAAGAAGGGCAAATGGAAATGTTAAATCCAGGGAGGAAGTGGGAAGAGAGCTCTAACATTGTGGGGATTACAACCAATGTGCAGAATCAAATGTGTAAGCATCATTGAATGGAAAATCAATTGCTTTGTACACTTTCACTGTAATCACTATATATATACACATAGTGATAAAAGTAAGAGTTCTTTCCAACAGACACCATCTTCTAGTAGATTCCTACCTATTCCAACCTAGTTTTGGGAGTTATCTGACTTCAGCTGATGAGTTACACAACTGAAGAGTCTTTGCATACATAGTGAAAGAAGTGGAAGGAGAAAGGGCACAAGATTTTATAGGATACTATTGAGATTTCTACATGCACTTATGATGACCTTCAGTGGTGTCTTGAAAGCAGGCCATTGCCTACAGAAGGACAAGGAAGAAAAGCCTCATGCTATATGGGGCAGTGTCCTGAAGAGAAAAAAACAGATCAACACTCCCCCAAAAAGCTGCTAAGAATGGGAAAAAGTAGAACTACCATAGGACCTAGTCAATCCTAAGATTATACCCCAAAGAATTGAAAGCAGACATACAAACAGACACATGTATACCAATGTTCATTGCAGTACTATTCACAACAGCCAAAAGGTAGAAACAATCTAAATGTCCATCATCAGAATGGATAAACACAATGTAGAAAACACAGACAATGGAATGCTCAGCCACAAGCAGCAATGAAGTCCTGATTCACATCATAACATAGACCAACCTTGGAAATACGATGCTGAGTGAAATCAATCACAGAAGGGTAAGTATTATGGTCCCACTTATATGAAATAGGAAAAGTATAGAGACCAAAGCTTATTAGTGGTAACAAGGGATAAGGGGAGCCACTGCTTAGGAGCCAGTACATTTCTGTTGTTGTTGTTGTGAAGTGCCGTCGAGTTGATTCTGACCCATAGCGACCCTGTATAGAGTTTCCAAGGAGCAGCTGGTGAGCTTGAACTGCCAACCTTGCAGTTCAAACGACTTTGCAGTCTGACGCATTATCATACAGCACCACACCAGGACTCCTCATTTCTGTTAATGGTGGGGAAATACTTTGGAAAAAGACAGTGGTGATGGGTGCACAATATGATAACGTAATCAGTGTCACTGAATTACACATCATGTACAAACTGCTGAACTGGCAAATGTTGTCATACATATTTTTACTACATACACACACACACACACACACACACACACAATTAAGAACCCAATCAATCATACGTCAGCAATAGCTTCAGAAGTGAATGAGGGAAATCATCTTGGAAGAATTTTGGCCCATTGGTAATGATGAAAGTGTAAATCATTACTTCCTGCTAAGGGGCTTTCCCTGCATCTATGACTGCATTTCTCCTAATTATTGGGTCACTTGGAAATTCTGTTCAAATCAGCAGCCAGAGCAGTCCTAACCCCACAGCTCTGTTCATGGCCCTTCCTTTGGTCTCTCAGAACACTCCGCTGGAAACACACATTTTCTTTGTGACCGGAGACCAACTGAGTAGTTGGAGGGGAACCTTGTCTAAAATATGAAAATTTCTCTAGGAAAGGGTTACAACAATATCCACATTCCAATTAGACTAAAGAGGTAGCATCCACAGGATGTTGTTGGTGGTGTTAAGTGCTGTTGAGTCAGTTCCAACTCACAGTGACTATATATAGGGGGGTTCATAGGAGAGGCTGGTGGGTTTGAGCCTCCAAACTTGTGGTTAGCAGTCCAGTGTTTATCCATAGTGCCACACCAGGACTACATATACATGTTGTTAAATGCCATCAAGTCGGTTTTGACCCATAGCCAACCTGTATAGGGTTTCTGAGGAGAGGCTAGTGAGCTTGAATCACCGACCTTGTGGTTCAAATTGACTTTGCAGTCCACACCAGGACATCTACATGATTATTGTTGTTGTTAAGTGCCGTTGAGTTGGTTCCTACCCATAGCGACCCTGTATAGGGTTTCCGAGGAGCGACTGGTGAGTCTGAACAGCCAACCTTGTGGTTCAAACCGACCTTGCAGTCCAGCCCCTTAACCCACAGCACCACACCAGGACTCTATCTATATGATAAAGCCTAATTATTTTTAGTATAATCAAATTTCTAATCATGTTAAGATTTTTTTCTTCTTTATCTTAATTGTTTTCTCTTTTCTTTATGTATAGTTGGAGGCCCAGTATAGTGCAGGACCTCAAGGTTGGTTTGAACCTCAAGGCTGGCAGTTCAGACCCACCAGCTGCTCCTTGGAAACCCTATACAGGGTCTCTATGAATCGGAACTGACTCTTAGGCACTTAACAACAACAATAGCGGGGGATGGAAAGGCATAAAGTTATATTTCAATTCCTTCTTTAGTTTCAGGACTGTAATTTTCACCAATTGGGAGAGAAAATCCAGAAGCGCTGAGGGGCCAGCCTCTAGCAATGTTTGAAAGGGCAGGTAAATCATGAGTCAGCAAATGGAAACAGAAAGCAGATTCAATTTATTAAAATGGTCACATTTCTAAGTACTGAATTAGTACTAGGCGACGGGTATTAGTAGATGAACAGAATAATACTTCATTTTAAAAGGTATTTTTTCAAAGCTTCACTTTTACAATACTTTGGAACTATCAGTATGAAATAACACTTTAACAAACTAACATTAAAGATCATTAACTACCAAGATGGCAAAACTTATTTCCCATTTCTTTGTGACTTTGCAGGGGTTCAAACCAGTGAATAAAAAAATTAATGTTCCACATAAAGAAGATCTATTGCTATTATATTCAAAATTATCACAGTCAAAACCCTACCTGAAAAAAGACTGCAAAAATGGTAATAATTGGTACTGAAAAAACAACAGTAAAGCAACATTAAATCTTGGTCCCCATTCTCTACCTGACGCTTGGTCTCTCACCTCTCTCTCTCTCTCTCTCTCAGGACAGTGGTTTTCAAAGTCTGGTATGTATCAGAAGTATCAGGAAAACTAATAGAAAATACAGAGGCCCAGGATCATTTCAATAGAAAAGACCTGAGCCTTGCATCTTTCTTGTTCCCCTACAATGGTTTCCAAGTCAGGCTAACCGAAATCACTTGGGGAACTTTGAAACAAAACAATACAAAAACAAATTCTTAGGTTTCACCCCTGAAAAGTTTAATTCTGTAGGTTTGAGGTTGGGACCCAGAAATCTGCAAATATTTTATTTTTAAAAAGATTAATTAATTTATTTTATAATCTTCCCTGGTGATGGATTGACTAGATTTAGGACACTTAATCTAATGCCTATCAAAGAACTTCGGCCTCTGAGTTTACAAAGAATATTTAGAACTTTGAGTAGGTTATAAATCATAATCCTAAAGAAAATTTAACAAATTAAATTGTCGGGAAGTGATTTTATACTAAAAACCCTGTCCAATTAAACACTTAAATTACCTAATGATTTTCTATCCATCCACTCTCCCTCAAACCCCCAGGTTAGGCCTATATCTAATTCTTGTTTCCTATGCTAGCTGCCCAAAGTGCTTATAAGCAAGGATTCAGTTCTGTGAACCTCTCCCTCTTCCTCTTCCACTCAGATTTTGAGGGCTGCTAGAAACAGACCTATTTCAGAGCACCACAGACAAGTGATGTTGCTTGCAACACTGCACCAAGAGTATCACTCCAGAAATCTGTGAACTCAGCTCCACACCACTGGCAGGGACTGATTTATTTGTGGAAAGAACTACTCTTATCACAAAAAATAGGCAGTTTAACAGCTAAGACAAGAGGAAGTTAATTATGACTTCAGAAGCTTCAAAAACACAGGGACTTTTGAGCTACGTCTAGTAGCCCCAAACTCATAGATGTCCAGTCCTCTCCTAAACTTCTAGGAATCAGATGTTTACATTCAAAATCTAAGACAGAAAGGATCTGAAAGCAATGACCAAAATGCGAGAAACGACACCTGATCATTTTTCTTCTCTCTCAATCTGAAGTCAGAATACTGACATACAGCAAATGGAAAACTCAGGTCAAAAGTAGCTGAGAATTACGATCCTGAAAATACAGATGCTGAGTTCTAATCCTTCCCATAAATTTCCTGAGAGCCAATTGGGGAGATGTCCCTTCTTAGTCAGAAGATACTAACTCTGCCACATGAGCAGCAGCAGCAAGGAGGTAATTCCTAGGAGATGCATAAATGCACGTGGGTCCTAAGTGTCTGTTTAAAAATGATGATGGGTCTCCTTACTGGACAGCTGGCTACAAGCCATCTGATGGTTTCCAGGCACTTTCAAATGTACCTAATGAAACTGTTGGGTAGGTGTCCAAATGGAAGAATTGAAAAGACCTTCCTCCTCAAACTGGTATGAAAAACAAGCCAAACACTACTAGCAGCAAGTCCAGCTGGAGGAGGACTTGGTTTGTAGATTGATATAGTTCCCTTGAGTGGACAAAGACATGATATCTTCTCTGGAATTGCTCATCATCTTTTCAATGAGGACTCTACAAAGTAAATGAAGAATAAGTGTGAGAACTGGTTCGAGGAGAGGGAGATATGGCAGACATTGTTTTCAACAAGACAGCACTTGGAAAAGCCACAAGGTTCAAATGAATTTCCGTCCCCAGTTATCTCAGCAGAGAAGATGCATCCCTGGCCTTCCAATAACTTGATCTATTCTCATCTGCTCATAAACAATGGGGCTAAGTGGAAGTTGGGAAAATCTACATGCTTATTCCCAAAGCTACTCACCTCATGGCTTCATTGATATTTTTGTTTTCCTTGACTGATGTTTCTGTCCAACCTGTGAAACCGTTCTCTTTACTGAACCGGTCAATCTGGTCCCGGCTCACTGCCCAAGGGGACAGATCACACTGGTAGAGAGAATCAAAGACAACATCATAGACTTCCTGGGAATAGAAACACTGCTCAAATACCTGTGAATTTTAAACATGCCACCACTAAGGGCTAAGATCACTAGCATCCAAAATCTAAAGTTAACATAGTCCCCAAAGAAAGCTTCACTCTCACCATCTTTTTAAAGGGGGAAGAGATGATTCTGTTAACTTGAGATGGCAAAAAGATGCCTAGAATCAGAGAGTGTTTTAGACCATATTCTCTAAGCCATAGATAGTCTCCAACCATAGACTGAGGACAGGAACCATTTTCCTAGATTGACCTCATACCTTGTTGGCCAAGAGCAGGCAGGGCACAGGCTCTCCATTGGGCAGTGTGAGCTTGCTGTCCAGATCCTGTTTCCACCTCTGGCTATTGCTAAACGTAGTGGTGTTGGTAACATCAAACATAATAACACAAGCAGAGGCGTCCCGATAGTATAGTCGTGTCATAGAGGTGAAGCGTTCCTGTCCTAGGGAGAAAGAAGAGATATTCAAACAGGTGAATTTAGAATTAGGCTCAGTCCCTTCTCTAACCCTCTGCCCTCTCTACATTTGTTGTTAGAGAAAAGGTAGTGTGTGTAGTGGTTAAAATTCTGCACCCATTCAAATCCATGCTCTACCATTTACAATCTATGTGACTTGGGCTATGTTAGGTGATCAGCATGTCAGATATCTCACTTGTAAAGTAGGGGTGGAGCGCCATGGTGCTGCAGGATAAGCACTGAACAGCTAAATACAAGGTCAGCAGTTCAAACCCACCAGCTGCTCCAAAGGAGAAAGATGAGCTTTTCTGCTCCCATAAACAACAACAACAAAATAGGGGTAAAAGGAGTAGCCTTTATCATAGGGTTGTTGAGAGAATTAAAGAGTTAGTGGATATAAAATGCTTGGCACATAAGAAGTGTGAGCTGTAATTATTATTATCTGTCTATTTTCTGGGGAGCTTGTTTCTCACCAAATTCAAACGATAATCTAGAAAACCCAGCCAAAGTGTCTTCCTCCTGTTTTGGAAACATCTACCCACAGTCTCGACAACCCACCACCTTGTCATCCCTTCCAGCTACAAAGACCCTACTCTATAACAGTCCAAAAAGAATCTTTCAATTTATATATTATCAGAGCAACTCAGTCATTTCAGTGGCAGAAAAGAGTTTGGGTTTTGCTGTCCCACTTTTTCTTTGAAAGAGCCTGCTGGTCGAACGCCTTTCCCTTATTTCTACAGCCTGCCCGGCTCACCTGCAATATCCCACAGCTGGAGCCGCACCATCTCTGAGTCGGACCACTGGAGAACCTTCAGAGCAAAATCCACTGAAAATATAATGTATGTGATACATCAATAAAAATGTAACCTTTAAAAAAAAATCCACAGAAAAATCTATATGGACACATAGCTCCCAATCCCATTTTATTTCTGTTTAATTTTTTAAAAATAAAAATTTATTGTGTTTTGGGTGAAGGTTTACACAGCAGTTTAGGTCCCCGTTCAACAACTTTTACACAAGTTGTTTAATGACATTGATTACAATCTTCACGATGAGAGAACATTCTCATGAGTTCCACTAGATGTTCCAGTTGCTCTTAGTGTCCCTGCCCCTTTACATTCTCATCTTTGTTTTAAAATAATTGTTGACTGTTTGGTCTCATATCTGTGATTTTTTTTAAAGGAGCACAGTACTTCCAGGTGATACTCATTATTTTTTAAATCAATTTATTACTGAATTACAGGGTTGCCTCGGGGGTTAGTTTCTGTTCAAGGTTTGAAGGGCATAGTCTCAGGGCTTCCTTATTTATTTTTAAGGCCTCAATAGGCTAAGCTGAATCCACTTTAATGTATTAAGCATGTGACAGATAATTTATCGTCCCTCTCCAGCTTTTATTCTGTTACCCAACCAATTTATTTGATACTGTTTGTCTCAAGGGCTAAAGACAGGAGGGTGAGAGTCATTATGAAAACAACTTCTAATCTCAGATTAGGTTGAACAGCTTCTGGGAGATTTAGGGGTTTTTCTCAGGGAAAGGATGATGGAGTAGGAGGGGGAAATGTGAAGTGAGGCTGCTTTTACTTCTTCCACCTTCAACTGTACTGTTGGTTTCTAATCCAAGTATATTGTGACAAAAACACATTCTGGAGGATTCTACATCCTCCATAAGGCTATGGGTATTATTCCAGGTAGGAATGGGGTTCAAATGAAAAAATCCCAGTGGATTCCCAGGAAATAAAACACTGCATGCATGGTGCTTAAGAACAGTGCTGGACTCTACTGCCAGGTCTGTGTGGGATTGTGCCAGATGTGTTCAGACTCCATGAGTTAAGGGGAAAAGCTCTTTAATAAAAGAAAGAAACTGGATAATTTCTGAGGTTTGGAAACATACTCATCCACATCTGTGACAGAAATAATAGTGAAGGGAAATTTATAATAAACACTGAAAAGCAATTAGCAGAAGCCACTAATAGTAACAGTCCTGGTGTGGCATTGTGGGATAATGCACTGGACTGCAAGGTCGGTTTGAACTGCAAGGTTGGTGGTTCAAACTCACTAGCTGCTCCTTCGAAACTCTATATAGGGTCACTATGAGTCAGAACTAACTTGATGGCACTTAACAACAACAATGGCAGTGAAAGGACTTCTGGTGTGGTGCTGTAGGATAAACCCTAGACCTCAAGGTGAGTTTGAATTGCAAGATCGGTGATTCAAACTCACCAGCTACAACTCAGAAACCCTATACAGGGTAGCTATGAGTCAGAACCAACTCAATGACACTTAACAACAACAACAATGACAATGAAACCTTTAAGATCCAGAACTCGACAGGACTGCCTTGTTTTCCTGGGTCTTGCAAGTTTTCCTTGACAAGGTCTAGTCCTAATGTTTTTCTACCCCTCGTTTATTTACTTAGGAAAAAAAAAAACGTTTAGAGGGATTTATGGTGTGGCGCTGTGGGTTAATGCTGTTTGAACTGCAAGGTTGGGAGTTCAAGCTCACCAGCTGTTCTTCAGAAACCCTATATAGGGTCGCTATGGGTCAGAAACAACAGTTCTGACTCACAGCAACCCGGTATAGGAGTTCCGAGGCTATAAATCTTTAAAGGAGCAGAAAGCCCTATCTTTCTCTCCCAGAATGGCTGAAAGGTTTGAGATGGAGGAATGAAAACTGTCTTACATTTTGGGATTAAAATACAGCATCTGCCTCTTTGTATTTTCATTGAAAAGAAAATGTAGGAATCCAGAAAGAATGCATGTCCAGTTAACCTGGTTGCCTCCCACTGGCAAGGCATTCCTCTCCAACCATAAGTATTTTCTGATGGTTGAGAGATTCCCAGAGGATAATTCATTTAGACATTCAAGTTAAATCAACCAAAATCATCTGTTGCTGCTGTCATTGAGTCGGGTCCAACTCATAGTGACCTTGTATAGTTTCCAAGGGATGGTTAGTGGGTTTGAACTGCCGACCTACAGTTAGCAGTCCAGTGCTTATCATCTCTCAGTCATTAATTTTTCTGACATCAGTTTACCCACGTTTGCAAGCAGAGTACAAAACAGCCATAACTTGTTTTTCACATCAATATCTTTAGTACCAATTACAGCATTGTTGCTGGTAAGTGCCTTCATATCAGTTCCAACTCATATGGACCCTATATAGGGGTTCTGAGGAGCAGCTGGTGAGTTTGAACCTTGTAGTTTAAACCGACCTTGTGGTTCAGTGCACTATCCTGCATCAGGACTCCACCAATTACTATTGTTGTTATTGTTGTTAAGAGCTGTCGAGTTGGTTCCGACCCATAGCGATCTTGTATAGTGTTACCAAGGAGTGGTGAGCTTGAACAGCCAACCTTGCAGTTCAAACCAATTTTGCAGTTAAGTGCATTAACCCATAGTACCACACCAGGACTCCAGTTACAATAGCAGCACTAAAATATTTATTAATTGATAACATTTGACTTTTCCTTCTTTGACAGGTTCCTACCTTAGTCAGGCTCTAGCTTTCACAGCTTTTACTGTATATTTCTCACTAAAGGAAAACTAGAGCAACTGCTAAAAAGTAATTAAGTTAAAAAGAATTTTTAACTCAAATAGATGAAATGTTGTTACTGTTAGCTGCTGTCAAGTCAATTCTAATTCTTGGCCACCCCATGTATGAAGAGTATAACTGTGCTCCATTGCCTTGTCAAGGCTGTAACTTTTCAGAAGAAGATCGAACTGTCAACCTTTCACTTAATATTTGAGTGCTTAACTGTGCCACCCAAGGACTCCAAAACTGTTGAAATAGGGACCCTCTTATTTTGGACATACAAAGAGGGATCACTCCCTGAAGAACATTATGCTTGGCAGAGGGTAGCAAGATCCTCAATGAGATGGATTGTCACAGCACCTGCAACAATGGGTTGAAACCTAGGAATGATTTAAGTCGGAATGGATTGGAGGGCACCAAACAACATACTATTTTTAGGAAGGGGGGATGGGCAGGGTGGTCAGAACAGTCTTTGAAATTTTAAACCCTTCTGTTGATGTTCTTACTGGGGAAGAAGAATGCTTCAATTGCAATGTAATGCTTGGTAACTTAAAAAATTTTATTGGATATTGAAGCTGCCGGCTGCTCTGCAGAATAATGGATGTTTCAATTAGCTTCAAAGATGACAGCATTGGAAACTCTATGGCACAGTTTTACTCTGCCCCATGTTCTCTAGAGTCCTGGTGTGGTGTTGTGGGTTAATGTGCTGGACTGCAAAGTTGGTTTGAACTACAAGGTAGGTGGTTTAAGCTCACCAGCTGCTCCTAGGAAACCCTATACAGGGTCACCGACTTAACAACAATAATTTCACTTGAAGTTGGAAATGATTCCATGGCAAAGAGCTATAGGCTTTTTCCTTTAAATTTTTCCTTTTATGGAAATAATAAGTGTTTAAATTACTTTCTCCCTTTATAAGTTCTTCCTAATTAACGCAAAGGCACCTCTACCACTAAAAATTAGTTCAACTGAGTACAAAAGCCACATCTGGGAAAGAAATTAATTCAATCTTGTTTCCCCTGTCTTCCTCCTCTCCTCATTGTGAGGGAAAGAGGAGTAGGAGGATAGTCAAGAGAAGTGGGGTGTTTCACATTTTTCAAAGAATTCCTAGGCTGGCTTTAAGCAAATCAATGCACAAAAATCACACCGCTCTGGTAAGCATCTGATTCTGTGGCCAAGGATCTGTTGGATGCCCCAGGCATTCCCAAACAAGAATAGAGTCATTCAGACCTGTTCAAAGTCCAAGTCATACCCTCAAGGCCAAGTTAAACATCTTTCTGCTCCTTCTCCACAGCGAACAATCCCAGCTGGCACCTAATCAGGCCAGACAGAGGGTTTCAGTTGGTTCTGCCGCTCGTTAGGATTTGCTTGTGACAGAGTCGGAGGCAGCAGGTGGATATGTTTCACAGCTCGCCGGCTCGCGCTCACGTAGAACCTGCTCATAATCTCATCCTATAATTCCCATTTCTTATCTTCACACCTTCACTTATCTCTTTCAAGGCAGCCAATTCAGGCTGGAAAACCCGACTTGGGAACTAAGAAAGGCAAGCAAGATACAAAGACCCAGCAATTACGCCCCCAGGGCCCTAAACACGTACTTCCGGACCTGAGGAGGGACCCAAGGACACCCGATCCCCCTCTCCTCCACTGCAGCCAGGCCCACAGCTTGAGTCGGTAGTCGGGGCCTCTAACCGCCCGCCCAGTCCCCAGCGCGGTCTCACCTCCTACGGTAGACTTGTAGTGTTTGCTGAAGCTGTCCTGGGAGTATCTCTGGACCAGCGACGTCTTGCCCACTGCGGCGTCTCCTACCACCAGCACTTTGAACAGGTGGTCACGGCGGCTCATGGCGGAAGAGCGAGGTGTGCGTTTTAGAGACGCGGGAAGTGGGCGAGTCGCTTGTTTTAACTCCTCTGGCTTCCAACCCTCTACAAGCTCAGGTTAGGCATTCTCGCCCATCGCCTGTTGGGGCAGCTCTGATGAGAAAGCAAAAAAGAAAACTTTGCATTAAACCTGTATGCGCTTCCTCCCCGAGCGGCCGCAGCCTGGGTGGGGCGCAAGACTCGACTCTGAGCCCCTTGAGGTTTGTTCGCACCTTCGGCCCCTCCCAGGCCCGGCTGCTGAGAAACGGGACAAGGCACCCGTGCCTCACCCACCGGGACTTCCCCGTGCGGAGACTGCACCCGGCCAGGCCAGTTTCTTTCACTTTTAAGGTCATAAAATGGGGGCTTTGCTCCCCCTACACGTATCAAATTAGGGGATAGGAGTAATCCACCACCACACTTCTGTACCCTGGCCGGCCCCGGGTGGCGCGGTCCCTCCAGCTTTTCTCCTCACTCATCACGTGAAGGGTTGCTTGCGGCACTACATTTCCCACCTCACTTTGCAGTGAAGAGAACTAGCCAAGTGAGGAGGATGACCCGCGAGGTCTGCCGGGAAATGTAGTTCATGTTACTATTTTCATTTTTGTGAACCTACACAGTCTTAAGAGTTTAGCAACTCCGGTACTTCTCTAGTTTGGAATCTTCTTTTAAAATAATTCTGGATCAGAAAGCATTTATCAAGGAGCTCCCTCTCCAGCTAGATTAAGATTCCTAATATCTTCAAAGATTTTCTGGAGCTCAGATGAAAAATTATCCCTTAATAGCTGTAGCTATTTATTCCATCAATAAAAACCCAAGTGTATCCTTCATGCTCCAAGCAAAGTTCATTCCCTACTCCTTCAAGTAAATATCGAAGCCCAGGACTTTATTAACATGTTGTTAAGTGCAGTCCAGTCTGTTCCTGTCCATTGTTGTTGTTGTTAAGTGCCATCTACTCTGTTCCTACTCACAGAGACCCTGTATAGGGTTTCCCAGGAGAAGCTGGTAAGCTAGAACTGCCGACCATGAGGTTCAAACTGGCTTTGCTATACAGCACATTGACACACAGCACCACACCAGGATTCATTATTAACATGAGTGGGGGCAAAAAAAAAAGAGAGAGAAAGGAAGGGTGAGAGAGGAAGAGAGGGAGAAAGTGAGGGAGTGAAAGAGAGAAAGAAAGATTTTTTAAATGAAAACCAAAGCATATTTTCCATGTGACGCAAGTTCATGGAACCCTGACCCAAGAGACCAACTCTTAGAAAACATCATGCCAAAAGTTACAGCATGTAACTAGCCACAGTAATAGATAGACAGAAAACAAGACACTTCCTTATTCTCACTTCCACAATCCCCTATTCTAGTCATAACACTCACATATCATTTGAGCTAGAAACTGGGTCACACTGGAAATCTTGCTCCATTTTTGCTGCAGTTGGTCATCAATCATTATTAAACTATAGTTGTGTGAATAATTTAAAAATTTCAGCCTCTAACCTTTCTGACCACCACTTGTCTACCACTTTGTGGTACTGTAGTGATTTGTGCATTATTTATCCTCACAAGTGGCCCAATAAGCAACATCAGATAAATGGAGAAAAAAAATTGTCAAGGATTTCATTTTAAATGCCATATTGCTCTGGGCACATCTGCTGCAAAAGACCATTTTAGAGTGTTAAAAAGCAAAAATATCACTTTGAAGACTAAAATACACCTAACACAAGCCATGATATTTCCAGTCATTTCATATGCATGTGAAAACTGAACAATAAACAAAAGAAGAATTGATGCTAATAAGTTGTGATGTTGGTGAAAATACTGTGGACTGCCAGGAAAATGAACAAATCTGTGTTGGAAGCCAGAATCCTGTTTAGAAGTGAGGATGGTGAGACTTTGTCTAAAGTACTTGGGCACGTTATCAGGAAGGACCTGGAGAATGACATCATGCTTGATAAAGTAGAGTGTCAGCGAAAAGGAGGAAGACCTCCAATGAGATGGGTTGACACAGTGGCCTTAAACATAGGAATGAGTGTAAGGATGGCACAGGCATTTTGTTGGACTATGAGTTGTCTCTGTGAATCAGGACGGACATGACAATACCTAACAACAACAAACCTTTCTGATCTGCCTGTCCATTGTTGTTGTTAGGTGCTATCAAGTTGGTATTGACTCATAGCGACCCTATGCACAAGAGAACGAAACACAGGTTAGCCTGACTAACCTCACAATTGTTGCCATGCTTGAGCCTATTGATGCTGCCACTTTGACAATCCATCTCGCTGGGGGTGTGTCTATTTTTCTCTGACCTTACCAAACATGAGATCCTTCTCCAGTGACTGGTCCCTCCTGACAATATGTCCAAAATATGAGAGATGAAGTCTGGCCATCCTGACCTCCAAGGAGCACTCTGGCTGTACTTCTTCCAACACATCTGTTTATTCTTTTGTCAGCCCATGGCACTTTCAATATTGTCCTCTAACACCAGAACTCAAATGCATCAATTCTTCTACGATCTTCCTTATTCACTGTCCAACTTCCACATGCATATGAGGTTATTGAAAATACTATGGCTTGGGTCAGGTGTACCTTAGTCTTCAAGCTGACATCTTTGCTCTTCAACACGCAGGCAGTAAGGACATGATGAATGTACTACAAGAAATATAAGCTGTGTTTCTAAGCTTTTCCCAGGAATTGAAGTGGAAGCAGTGGGGCTGTGAGAAAATAGCCTAGGAGGCTGACACCAAAAACATTTTCCCAGAGCTTTTGGATGAGATGCTCTTACTTAACATTCTGTTAGGAAAGAACTCAGTGTGGTTCACAACTTACTTAGCTCAAACTGTTTGTTACCTCAGGTGTGGGAGATCAGACATTGGAAAAGGATGTCTTAGATCCTTATGTTTCAATTCCTGTTTGTTTTGACATAGTTTAAGTGGTTTGAAATCCATTTGTCATTTGATTTCTGTGACACTGTTCTTTCTTAGTTATTGTCATGGACTGAATTGTGTCCCCCCTCCCCGCAAAAAATATATGTCAATTTGACCATGTTATGATTCATAGTAAGGAGCTCTGGTAGCGTAGTGGTTACGAATCGGGCTGCAAACCTTAAGGCCAGCAGTTCGAAACTACCAGCCGCTCCGCGGGAGAAAGATGAGGCGTTCTGCTCCTGTAAAGATTTACAGCCTCGGAAACCCTGTACAGGGTCGCTATGGGTCGGATCCGACTCGATGGCACTTAACAACAACAACAACAAATGATTCATAGTGCTTTAGCAGTTAAGCAATGATGTAATGTGGTCGTTATGTGATGATTCCCCCATGATGTGATATGATATGATAAACCCTTAAGAGGATTTAGGGTGGGATTCAATACCATTAATCCTACCCCAGGAGTGTGGCCTGCAACATCTTTTATCTTACAAAGATAAAAGGAGAGAGAAGTGAACTGAAAGAGAGGAACCTATTACCACCAAGAAAGAAAAAAAAAACAGGAAATGAATACATCCTTTGGACCTGGCGTCTCTACTCTGTGAAGTTCCTAGGTCCAGGGGAAGATTGATGCCAAGACACATGGAGATCTTCCAAGGAATGCTGGGCCTACAGATGCTGAAAGAAGCCAACAGAGAGATAAAGCCTTCTCCTAGAGCAGGCACTCTGAATTTGAGCTTCTAGATCCTAAACTGTGAGAGAATAGATTTGTTTGTTAGTTAAAGCCATCCACTTGTGATATTTATGTTATAGCAGCACCAGCTAACTAGTCATCCTGGTGTGGTGCTGTGGGTTAATGTGGATTAATGCAAGGTTTGAACCACAAGGTCGGCAGTTCAAGCTCACCAGCTGCTTCTCGGAAACCCTGTACAGGGTCACTATGAATTGGAACCTACTCAATGGCACTAAACAACAACAACAAACAATAGATGACTAAGACAGTCATCGTACCTTTTTTTCTTTGTGGAGTCTTTCCATTCCATCTCCCCCTGAATGAGTATTTCCAAAGGCTTGGTTCTTGATTCCTGAGCTGATTATAAACTCTTAACTTTAGTGAATTTCCCTTGGCTTCAAATATTTCACATGGGCTTGATTTTATTTATGCTTTTATCTCTAATAGGCACCTCCTCTTGGATGTCTGCCGGGGTTTGCCCTCGACATAGTTGTCACGAGTGTTTGGGTCACGAGGAGGGGAGATCCAGCGGCGATAGGGATAGCGAAAGAATACACAG